GCAAGATGATCCGATGAGACATAGTGTTACGCTTCAATCCCTAACTTTTACATGGACCGCCCTTTCGGGTTTTCAGTCCATCGGGATACCCTTTTTTGCCCAAGTCGCCCTTTCGGGTTTTCGACTTACCGGGTGTACAGATTTTTTCATTTTCATCCCTTACTTTTCCCCGAACCCTTTTGGTTCGCCGGGAAGCCCTTATTTTTGCCTAGGCCAGTCGACCTAGTGGGTCTTTGATTATGCGTAGTATCTTTTCACTATGTCTGCATTGACGGGGTGAGGGAGGTCGTCACCATCCATGTTGGTTAGAATCATAGCTCCTCCCGAGAAAATGTTCTTAACCACAAATGACCCTTCATACATGAGAGTCCATTTGCCCCTGGGATCACCTTGCGGCAGCATGATGCATTTGATCACCAGATCCCTGACTTGATATTCTTGGCGCCTGACTTTCTTGTTAAAAGCCTTGATCATTCGCTTTTGGTACGTCTGACCATGGCAGATATCAGTAAGTCTCTTTTCATCGATTAGATTTAGCTGATCAAGTCGAGTTTGGATCCAATCGTCTTCGTTCAAACCCGCATACTTCATAATCCTGATAGAGGGTATCTGGACTTTGTGGGTAGGACTGCTTCCATGCCATACACCAGAGAGTAGGGTATTGCTCCTGTCGACGTTCGTGCTGAGGCACGGTACCCATGAAGAGCGAATGGTAACATCTCGTTCCAGTTTTTATATGTCACTGTCATCTTCTGTACAATCTTCTTGATGTTCTTGTTAGCTGCTTCAACAACGCCATTCATCTTCGGTCGGTAGGGAGAAGAATTATGATGTTGTATCTTGAACTGCTTACAGAGCTCAATGATCTTTGTGTTGTTGAGATTTGTACCATTATCAGTAATAATCCTCTCGGGTATGCCATATCGATAGATCAGATTGTGTCGGATAAACCGTGCCACGACGTTCTTGGTTACTGTAGCAAAGGAAGTTGCCTTAACCCACTTTGTGAAGTAATCAATTGCTACCAGAATGAAGTGATTCCCGTTAGACACAGTAGGTATGATCTCGCCGATCATATTAATACCCCACATTGCAAAAGGCCAAGGGGTCATCAAAACATTCAGGGGTACTAGAGGTACATGTACCTTATCAGCATAGACTTGGCATTTATGATAGGTTCGAGAGTACTGATAACAATCGGCTTCCATAGTGGACCATTAGTATCCTGCCCGTAAGATTTTCTTAGCCATGGTGTGTCCACTAGAATGGGTTCCGAAAGTGCCTTCATGTAGATCCGTCATGATCCTTTCTACTTCGCTCTTATCTATACACCGTAGTAGTACGGAGTCATGGTTGCGTTTATAGAGGATCCCATTGCTAAGAAAGAACTTCGCAGTGAACCTTCTTAGAAACTTCTTATCATTGATAGATGCCCCTTCAGGATACTCCTGAACCTCGAGATACCTTTTGACTTCGTGAAACCAGGGTTTGTCTACCACTTCTTCGGTATCGATTTCACAGCAGTGTGCTGGTTCATCCAATCTCTCAATGGTGATTTGGGGAGCTTCATTGTTCCACCTAACTTTGAACATAGAAGACATGGTAGCTAGCGCGTCCGCCAACTGGTTCTCTTCTCGTGGGAAGTGTTCAAAGGTTATCTCCTCAAAGTGTGGGAGCAATGTTAGTACATATTCTCGGTAAGGAATGAGTTTCGGGTGCTTCGTATCCCACTCGCCTTTGATCTGACTTATCACCAGAGCGGAATCCTTGAATACACTTAAGAACTTGATCCTCAGGTCAATAGCAGCTCGAAGACCCATAATACATGCTTCATACTCCGCCATGTTATTGGTGCAGTTATAACATAATCGGGCGGTGAATGGAGTATGACATCCCTCGGGAGATATAATTACAACGCCAATTCCGTTACCAAGTGCGTTTGAGGCTCCATCAAAATACATAGACCATCGAGATCCTTCCTCAGGTCCTTCATCTGGTCCGGGCTCTTCGCAATCAGTTATCAACATGATATTCTCATCCGGGAACTCAAAATTCATGGACTGGTAATCATCCACGACCTGATGAGCCAAATGATCAGCCAATACACTTCCCTTAATTTCTTTTTGGGTTGTATATTATATGTCTTATTCGGTTAAGATCATTTACCACCTTGCTATCCTTCCGGAGAGAGCGGGCTTCTCGAAAATATACTTGATCGGATCCATATTTGATATCAACAAGGTAGTGTGAGTCAGCATATACTGTCTCAGTCGGCGAGCAGCCCATGCGAAAGCGCAACAAGTTTTCTCGAGCAATGAGTATCGGGTCTCACAGTCGGTAAACTTTTTGCTAAGGTAATAAATGGCATGCTCTTTTCGACCAGACTCGTCATGCTGCCCCAGCACACACCCCATTAAATTGTCTAGCACTGTCAAGTATAATATCAAAGGTCTTCCTTCAACTGGAGGCATCATAATGGGTGGTTCTTGAAGGTATTCCTTGATTCTTTCGAAAGCGGTCTGGAATTCGTCATTCCACTTTACCACTTGATATTTCTTCAGCAGCTTGAAGATTGGCTCACAAGTAGCAGTCAGATGTGAAATAAACCTGACAATGTAATTCAGACGTCCTAAGAAACCTCTGACCTCCTTCTCTGTACGGGGAACCGACATCTCTTGTATGGCATTTACCTTTGCAGGGTCTACCTAAATACTCTTATCACTGACGACAAAACCCAGAAGCTTACCAAATCTTACCCTGAAGGTACACTTGTTCGGATTCAACCTCAGCTTATATGTATTCAACCTGTCAAACAATTTCTGGAGATGATCAAGGTGCTCTTCTTGAGTCTGAGACCTGGCTATCATGTCATCAACATACACTTTGATCTCATGATGAATCATATCGTGAAACAAAGCGACCATGGTGCGCTGATAGGTTGCCCCAGCATTCTTCAACTCAAAAGGCATCACTTTGTAGTAGAAGGTGCCCCACTGTGTGAAGAAGGTTGTCTTCTCCATGTCTTCAGGAGCCATCTTGATCTGATTGTAGCTGGAGAAACCATCCATGAAGGAGAAGATTTTATGCTGCGAGGTGTTGTCGACCAGAACATCAATGTGAGGAAGTGGGAAGTCATCCTTGGGGCTTGCCCTGTTCAGATCTCTGTAATCAACATACATCCGTACCTTACCGTCTTTCCTAGGTACTGGAACAACGTTAGCAACCCATTATGGATACGAAGTGACAGCTAAGAATCCTGCATCAAACTATTTCATGACCTCTGCCTTGATTTTCTCTGACATTTCAGGATGCATATGGAGGACCTTCTACTTAACCGGAGGACAGTCTTCTTTAGTCGGCAGACGATGTACCACAATATCAGTGTCCAAACCAGGCATGTCTTCGTAGGACCAAGCGAAGATCTCAACATAGTCGTGCAACATTTGTATCAACCTCTGTTTGACGCTAAGCTCCAGATTTGCACCTATTTTAACCTCTTTTTTGTCTTCCTCAGTACCCAAGTTCAATGTCTCAACCGGCTCTTCATGGGGTTGTATGGACCTTTATTCCTGTTGTAGTAGTTGTTGTACCCCAATTTTTGACCTAAGATCCCATTTTTATTTTTGCATTTTTTAAGATAAGTCAAGGTCACGAAATACGGTCGGTTTTAACGTCTCACCTTCGAGCATTGACTACGCAGAAATTTTCAAATATTTTGAACATTCTTAGCCTATGTATCACTAACTTCTAATCAAGCACGAAGTGTGTGTTTTTTGTTTCTTTGATTTCATTTACAGGAAACAGATCTGAATCAAGAGCATCAGGCGTCATGCCTCGATTAGGGTTCTGAATCTCTCAAGCCAGAAGTACGGTTGATTGTGGATTCTCGAAGATTGAGTCATCAAGGCACACCGTTGCACCCTTAATTTCGCCCCTAATTTTTTCAGTCGCACATTCATACCATATTTTGTCAGTTGGTCACAATCATTAGTAAATACCTTCATTCATCACATTTTGCATCATTAGTCGTATTTAAGTTGATCAGAAAAGTCAGTTTAAATCGAAGTTTGCATCGTCTTTCAGTTGTAAAATACCCGGCGTTTCACATCATTCATTTTTACCTGTTTACTATTTTCTTGCATTGCTCCAAGTTGTTTATACGTCGATAATAAAAATATTTTGGTTTTATAGACAAACTGTTAAAAGCGATTCGACACTATGTGGGAAAGTAGCGAGAAAATATTTCAAGTTTTCACCTTTTACCGATCATTTTATGAATCTACGCTTCGCGTAGATTATGATGGTATGCTCGCTTTATTTTTTCGGTACAGTTCGAAGTCTCGTTTTAACCTTAAACGTCTGTTTAGTCTGATATTTTTATTATTATTTTATTTTTGATTTTTGACTTCTTGAATATTTTTTCTTTAATCTTGGTGACATGTAGTTTATTTTAATGTGTTCATTTTATTTTATCGGATAAATTTTCGTCCGTTTTTTATCGTTTTCGGTCATTTTGTGTCTTTATTTTTAATTTAGAAAAAAATTCAAAAAAAAATCATTTTAAATTGAGTTTTTTTTATACCTTCAAGTTTTATTTTTATCTTTGTCATTAAAGGGCTTTTTAGTCACAAAAAAATATTAAATATACTATGCTTGACTTTCATTGGTTGTTGGATGAAGTTGAGGATCGATACATAAAAACAAAACCAAAAAAATTCACAGTATATGTTTTTCATCCCTCCTATTTTTCAAGACACACAATCTTCCCCCCATAATGAAAAACTCCCGCTTCCAATACCAACCAATCATGGTCCTCCCCGTCTTCCCTTTTCTCCCTCCATGACCATTCACAAAAAACAATAACACTTCATACCAAACTACATCAGTTTTCAACCAAAACAAAATTGAATCTGCATATTTTTACACAAACATGAAACCTACTTCTAACATCATTCACGAAGCCATCTCACTAATTATACATAAGAAACTCAATTATTGTGTCAATTTCTCTGTTGACTTATCATTACCATTTGTTTGTCAACTAATTGTTTCAGCAGGATTTTACTAATAAGAGGAATAAAGGCAAAACTGAAGCAAAGTAGAAGAGATTCAGAATTGCGATTTCCCTCAGACGTAGTCAACGAACACAAACGCGCAAGATTCAGGCATCGTGACCCTGTCATGGAGAACCTCCATGTGCAACCTTTTCTCTGACTAGACGGCACTGAGAAAAAAAAAGAAGAACATCGGAAGAACACCGCCTGCAGTATCGCCGACCTGCTCCGTTCGCACCCATCACGCCGGAGCTTCCTCCAATGGTCGTCCACCACCGATCTCAACCACCGACCTGCTATGCCATAGTCAGCTCCGCCATCCATCCACCGCATACCCACCCACTCGTCACATACCCATTTTCTCACGTGTCATCAATCTCTATCCTCTTCTTCTCATTATTATTAACCAATTTCACAGAACAAACACCATCACAAAACTCACAAACACAACAATGAAGGTAACCAAGCGACCGATCTACGCCTTCACTAAATGGCTCCGCCGGCAACCGCCCAAAATGAAGCTATTCCTGGCCGCCGCCACTGTGGTAGTATTCTCGTTTTTTTCTAATTTATTTTCATGATTTTTGGCATATATTTTATTCTAACTTGAAGATAAGAAGAAACAGAAGGAAGTATGAGAGAGACATGGAAAGGGATAAAACAAACAGGAAGAAATTAAGATCTGGAACGGATTTATACATTCTTTTTTTGTTTTTTTATTTATTTATTTCCATGTGTTTAATGGTTGGTTGGATTTATTTTATTGAAAAGTAAAAAAAAATACAGTAAATAAACTGCCTCCAATAATTATTAGTTACACATTTCAATTTATTTATTTTAAATAATAATTAGTTTAGTTAATTTAGTTATTTTATAGATTTAATTAAATAATTATGTTTGATTTAACTAGATAATCTTAATTATTTAGATTAATTTTAGACTTAATTTAATAACTTTAGAAATTTCAATTTGTTTAAATCTATTTTATAACTTTAGAACTTCTAATTAGTGTAGATACATTTTGATAACTTTAGAATTTTAATTTAGTCTTAGAATTTTAATCTTTAGTTTAGAATTAATTTAGTTTAGTATTAATTTAGATTTATTTTATAACTTTTGTTTTAGCTTTAGTTTAGTAAACTTTAGGATTTTATGTGTTGTAGTATTATTTTAGTAACTTTAGGATTTTATTTCATTTAGATTTGACTTAGTAAATTTTAGAGTTTTATTTGTTTTAGTTTTGACTTAGTAAACTTTAGAATTTTATTTTAGTTTTATTTTAGTAACTTTATGATTTTATTTCATTTAGATTTGACTTAGTAAATTTTAGAGTTTTATTTGTTTTAGTTTTGACTTAGTAAACTTTAGAATTTTATTTTAGTTTTATTTTAGTAACTTTAGGATTTTATTTCATTTAGATTTCACTTAGTAAATTTTAGAGTTTTATTTTAGTTTTTGACTTAGTAAACTTTAGAACTTTATTTGTTTTAGTTTTTGACTTAGTAAACTTTAGAATTTTATTTTGTTTTAGTTTTAATTTAGTAAACTTTAGAATTTTATTTGATTTTATTTAAGTTAACTTTAGAATTTTAGTTGTTAGTTTTAGTTTAGGGACTTTAGAACTTTATTCTATTTAGAATTAGTTTAATAAGTTTAGGATTTTAGTTGTTTAGAATTAGTTTAATATTCTTTTAGAATTTTATTTGATTTAGATTTAGTTTAGTAACTTTGGAACTTTTTTATTTTAGATTAGCAACCTTGGAATTTTTATTTAGTTTAGATTTAATTTACTAATTTTAAAATGTTTAATTTAGCTTTGATTTAATTTAGTAATTTTAGAACTTTTTTTGCAACCTTAGAATTTGTAGTTAGTTTAGAATTTTTTAGTAAGTAATCTTAAATTTTTAATATAGTTTAAATAACTTCTTTAGATAATTAGTTATATTCTCTTTTACTTTATTTATTTAAATATCTTTGTCATTTCAATTTCTCGGTGCCTCTTGACCATTAATTTGTTTTTGTCAGATTTATTTTCTTGTGAACTTCTGAAAGTTTATATTTTGATGTTCATTTTATTTTGCTTATTCCAAGGGAAATGTTTCAACTCAGTTGACTTCACGTCATCAAATACATCTTCTACAATCGTGCGAATAGCCTCATTCATGTTTTGCTTGCTTACTATTTTTCCAAACTTAAGACAATTTTCCCAAAAGACTCCATTTTCAAACTCACTCCTTTTAAGCCAAAACTTCGACACTAGGTCGTCGCATCTTCAAAATCTCGTCCATACCCATCTTTTAGCCAAACGAATCATTTTAATCAAACAAACAATTTTAAACCAAAAAACAGATATTTCAAAAGGTTCCTGCGGAGTACCGCAGATGCATTGGGTGCTAATACCTTCCCATTGTATAACCAACCCCCGAACTCTCAATCTCTTTCAAAAACGCATTGTATTTTTATTACTTTTAAGTATTATTTTACATTGCATATTTTAGGGTTTTATTTCGCTCTTTTCCCTTTTCCCTTGGAAATAATAAAGCGCGGTGGCGACTCTTGCTTTTGTGAGTCAAGTTAATTAATAGCTTGATCTCCGATTTTCACCGCTACAGAATTGGCGACTTTGCTGGGGAATAAAGATTGACCTCTTGCTGGCCCATCCCTAAGTGGGTTAAGCCTAATTTGTTTTATCTGTTTTATCATTATTTGATTGTTTGATTATATGTTTTTATTGTGGTTATTTGGGTTTTTGCAAAGGACAAGTCCTATACCCGGACTAAGTTACACTTAGGAATAGGACGGGCGGTATAGTCATGTTAACTTTGAGGGAGTAATCCCGAAGAAGGAGGCATGAGATCCCCCACTCAGTGGAAGGTCCTTTTGAACGTAATATTTGTTTACCGAGTAATCGGGAAGACATTATTATTTTCGACCTGGGAGCCAGAGAAGCTGGGAACCGTAGAACCCTAACCCATCTTGGCCTTTTAGGTGTAGCGCGAAGATTATAATGGAGTAATTCGGAAGTAATTGTTACGCGATGCTACGCTCGGATGAGTTTCTCTTGAGAATATTGCTGATTATTGAGTAATCAAGACGTTGGTAATATCCGAAGGAGGAATGTAGACTCCGGGAAATCTTAGAACCTTGTTCTACAGGTGTGATTAAACCGTTAGTACCTACCTTGGGGGTGTTCCTTACCTTGACTCCATGCTCGTGACGTTGAACCTTTCGACTTTATTTGTGACCTTGCTTGTGGTTGTTGCATAGCCATGCATTCATGCATCCATAAAACCCTTTTCACTTGACTTTGAAGGAATTTAGAGGTCTTTCTTTGTAAACATCACAAGTTTCGTCAAGCTCAATGGATCTTGGGTGTTGATAGGGCGAAAACCCTAATCCACCAAAATGGATGATTGATCTTGATGATAACTTGATCAATGTTTGGAGCCAATTTAAAATTCATCTTCTATCTTCATACTTTGATGTTTACAACTTAATATCTTGAGTTCCTTGAAAATCAAATAAAAACTCTCTTTTGCATATCATACATCATCCTACATTTTTTTATTTCACTTTCAAAGGTCTTTTTCCAAGTCTTATTTTTCCTTTGGTCTCATCAATACAACACTCGTGCTAAGAGAACAATGGAGAATATCAAGCAAGAGGTTTCTGAACTTCGTAGAGAGATGACTAATTTGAAAGCTAGTGTGGAGCACTTAACTGTTTTGGTCGAAATTTTGGTTTCCGCCAAAGTCAATCCTTTTAGGAGGGGGGAAGAGATGATAAAAGTCTTCACTGAAACTCTAAAATCACTCACTCATGAGAAGGTGTTGGTTAATGCACCTAATGACTTTCCTGACGAGGTGAATGTGGGAGTGCGTCTAGAAGAAGATGTTGGGAAGGGATGTTCATATGAAGATGGTAGCTCAGCTAATGGTGTAAAGAAGTTTGATAATAACTTTTCCAAGAAGAGAACCAGAGGAAGAAATAATCATCATCAGAATCATCATGTTTCTCCCATTTATCAACAGAATCGGCAAGTTCCTAATCAGAGGAAAACCCAGTTTGATCCAATTCCAATTACCTATACAGAGTTGTTCCCTATCCTGATGCAGAGGAATTTGGTTCAGACCCGACCTCCACCGAAGGTTCCTGAGAAGATACATTGGTACTACAAAGTTGATTTGGCTTGTACTTTTCATCAAGGTGCTCCTGGGCACGACTTGGAGGGTTGCTTTGCTTTGAAGATTGAGGTTCAAAAGTTGGTCAGAAGTGGTATATTGTCATTCAAGGACGTTGGTTTTGAAGTTCAAATCAAGCATGCGCCAAAGAGTAAACACGATTGATAGTGACTTTGATTTTTGAAGGATGTTTTCGGTAATTCAAGTCTAGATAGAAAGCCTTCCTAGATTATTAACTTATTCATGCTTTTTGTAATTTTTCTTGTTTATCAAAACATTGTTTGCATGTAAGAACTTGTTTGCATCTGAATGATTATCTTAATACAATGAATATGCTTGTCTTGAAGAAATTCATTCGTTTCACTCATATTGGTTTTCAAATTTTAAATTGCTTTTGCACTATGATACCAAATTGTTGCTCATTCTCTTGCCTAGGCAGAGATTGAAGGGAGGATGATGATCTAAAGAACACAAAATCTCTGGTTGTTTGCTTTTGGATAAAATCTTGCTGATGATGTACAGGCATTGTTTCAAATCCCTAAACACCGGAGATATAAGAAAGATAATCCCTTGCTAACCCCTTTTGAGCCTTTGAAGTAGAAGTTTCTTTTCTATACGAAAAAACCTTGAATTTTAACCTGGGGCAGGGTAGTTTTTAGTTAATCTGACTGAGTGTTCAAAATTCATAAGGAAGATGTTTTTTGAAGAGAAACTACGAGGGTTATCCTTCATGTATAATGAATCTAGAAGATGTGGAACCACAATGTTATCCCTCATTCATCAAGAAACGAGGCAATCACAATCCTCTCAACAAGCAAATGCAAGCTAATGTCACACATTTTGTTCAAAAAGTCAAAAATCGAGAAAAAGAAAAAGCCTGCTAAGTCAAAAAACATGAAAACGTGTGACTTAGGCAAAATTAAGGCATCCCGCTGGACTATCAATTCAAAAGAATTAGTTCAGGCAAAAGTTAGGGAAAATAAAATTGCAAAGAAAAAGGACTGCAAAGAAAAGTCCTCAGCAAAGAACAAATTGGTGACTACAAACACGAAGACATGAGGGTGGTTTCTACTTCGAAAGCCTCGTCGTTTCCTTGACCGTCACAAAATCCTTTTGAGAGATGAACACTCATGTTGAATTAACTGAACATAG